GCAGGAATTGCCAGATGGTAAATGCAGAGGTGAAAACGGATATGGGCAGAATGGTTTGGAACCCGGCAGTACTAATCTTGATTCAATCTGTCGATCTGTTTCCGAGGAAGATTGTTGGGATTCCACCACTCCAAAGCAGAGTTGCATTCCTCACCAGTTTGGAATGTCGCATCCCACGAACTACGAAAATGGTGAAGACGAAGCAGAAGGCGTTACGGGTTCATGTGCAAGTAACTCGTGCTCCTTTGACACCCATGAAATGTCAGTTTCGGAAAATGGAAATAGAGGCAAATCTCATGATGAATATCTGGAACTATCTTCTGTTTCCAGTGCAAATTCTGTTGTTGGTCCTCTACGGTTGGATTTTCGTGATGAACATGATGTGAGTGATAGTTATGAAGATGTCCAACTTTCCGGGACAGCAAGGTTGATAGCTGAACTTCCCGATGAGTTGAACACTGATTCTGAGCTCGGAGGCGGTGATAGTGTGACATGCGACGGCTTTCAGACACCGTCTGATGTGGTTTTGGTTAAAGAGAGAAAAATGGCTCCAGATCTTTTAGTAGATGATAGTAACAGCTTGCACGAACAGAAAACAACAAGCTGGTGCATTGGTGTCGGAGTAAATCAAGGTGCAGATGATGAATGTATCGACGATGAAGGATCCGGGTTCGATCCAAAACCGTTTACAAACATGTCTTCTACTGGTTCTGACCACCGGCATGAGGTAAGTTAGTCGTTTGTCGCTCTTATGTACATCGGTTTTTCGTCTAGTTTCTCATGCTGTGTTTGGCAAGTAGGAAAATACGAAGTTGGGGAAATCAAACGAGATAAATCAATGTCCTAACGACCAAGACGACCTTCCGTCCTTCAAACCCGCAGATAAACCACAAAAGAGACAGATTCTCAAGTTCGTCGTCAGGGGAACAGCCATTTTGAGCGTCATGCTTCTTGCGCTTCGGTTCAGGTGTGTCTGAAAATATCACCATACATGGAAATGTTTTAACAAGAAATTGTGATCCTTTAGCTTCCGAGACTTTAATTCCTTATAGACACCGTGGCTTTGTTCTTCTTCGCATGGCAGGAAAGGCGGCGGCGGAGAAGTTGAAGAGTCCCCTCGGAGTCTACCTCGTGAAAATGGTCGGAGACAGAGTACGAGGATTTCGAATTTGCCCGCACAGAATAGGAGGATCAAGGGTGTTGGAAAGGGCGTATATCCGGCCGAGAAACTAAATCTGGGAAGGAAGGATACATAAAATAAATAAATACGATTGAAAACGAGGAAATAAATATAAAATTAAATATGAATTTTAGATACAAAACAATTATGGTCACAATGTTAATTAATGGGTACGTTATTTGTATGTCACTTCAAATTTTATTAGATTCAACGCTAAAATTCTAATTTCTATGTCAATAAACTTACCCTATTAGTATCATTTAGCTTATAGGAAAATTTATTAAACAATCATTTAATATTTAAGTAAGAAAAATCATTAGAAACTTTCTTACTTTCTTTTGAAGTTTCAAATTTCAATTGCAAAAGAGCATGAATATACCATTTAACAATAGGGAAAGTGTGTTTATCTCTAATTTATTTTAAAAAATACCACATTAAACATTATTAGATTCTATTTTAAAATTGGTTAAACTATAGGGAGGTTAAATGCTAAACAAATGGTTTTATTGGAAGAGAAAAAGAAAGAAACCAAGGCGGTTAGAGTTTTTAAAATTTTTAGAATCTAAAAACCAAAACAACTATCATTCAAGTTTTTATAAATTATATTTAATGTAGTTAAAAAATATAATATTATTATATTTTGAATATTTTATATAATTAATATTTAATAAAAAATAAAAAAAATATTAAGAAATGAGATTTTTTTTAAACTAAAATCTACAAAAAAAAGTGGGTTTTGGTTTTTCCTTGATTTTCTTAAGGAAATGGTTTAGTGGGTTTTAGGAAAAGTAAAATGGCTTAGTGTTATATATATATATATATATGTACTTCTATTTTTTATTTAATGTTTTATTTTAGGTAAGATTTTTGTTCGTCTATATAGCGATTATTTGACGGTTGGATTTTTTGGACTAATAATTTAAAAGTACAAAATTTGTTTTGGGATAAACTAATTGTATATATATTTTTTAGCTAAAAATTAAAAAAAAAAGCGTTAAATTAAGCAGTTATTTTCCGTCGATTAACTTTAAATAAATTATTTAAGTATTAAAGTTTCTTTAATGTTTTTCGAAAGGAATCCAGTCAACGTCATTTGGCAATGGCACCTAACAAAACCAATATTCAAAGCATAGAATCTTTAGTTGCAAAGTCCAACTTTGATTTCGCCGGCGTCTCGTCCTTTTTAGATGGACAAGTTACAACCCGAGAGTCCAATTTCGATAGGATTGTGAATCAAATCTAAGCGACGATGTCAGGAGTGTACGACAATCACGCAGATGCCTATTTGGACGCCAGGCCCACTTACCCTTCCGATTGGTTCTCCAAGCTCGCCGGACTCTCCCTCCGCCGTAATCTCGCCTGGGATGCCGGCACCGGCAACGGCCAAGCCGCCATTGGTGTCTGTCCCTCTGTATTCAAATCTGAAATTCTGTAGATCCTGATTCTGTGTTTAGATCTGAGATTTTGTGGGTTTCGGTTTCCGTTTCCGTTTCGATCAGGTGGCGGACCAATACGACAGAGTCATCGCGACGGACGTGAGCGAGACGATGCTGAAGTTCGCGACGCCTCATCCGAAGGTCACCTACCACCACACGCCGCCGTCAATGACAGACGAGGAGATGTTAGATCTCATCGGAGGAGAGAACTCCGTCGATCTGATCACGGTGGCGACCGCCGTCCACTGGTTCGATCTCCCTAGTTTCTACGCGCTTGCCACGCGCCTCCTCAGGAAACCCGGCGGGATAATCGCCGTCTGGAGCTACAGCACCGAGATGGTGGTGAATCCCGACTTTGACTCGGTGCTGAGTCGGTTCCACGACCAAACGCTGCCGTATTGCAAGTTCCCACAAGCGCAGTACTTCTTAGACGGGTACAAAACGCTGCCGTTTCCGTTCGAGAGCGTGGGGTTTGGCTCGGAGGGTGAACCAGTGGAGCTCGAGATGAAGAAAACGGTGTCGTTTGAAGGGCTCTTAAGGATGCTTCGGTCGTGGTCGTCTGTCGAAACTGCCAAGCAAAAAGGCGTTGACTTGTTGCCGGAAAATGTGGTGAAGGAGCTCGAGACGGCTTGGGGAGGAGTCGGACTGGTTCGTACAGTCGTTTACAAGAGTTTTATGCTCGTGGGGACCGTTGGAGCTTAACATTGAATCTTTGTGTTAACCATAACTTTCAAGATTTTTAATGATAATCAAAATAAATTTATAGATTAACAAAAAAAAAAGAACGTATTTTTGTATTTTTTTTTTGTTTTAAAGTGTGATTTCCTTCTTTTTACACAAACACCCCAAATTGCAATCGAAACTCCGATGAAAAGATGCGTTTTGAATTTTCACATTTTGTTACCGTTACAAACGATTATGATCAAATCAATTACTTGTTTAGTCGCCGGCCACCGGCCGGAATCGCAAATGCTGCGTTCGCGGATAGATGCGTTGCAATCAGTGACCAATTAAACATTTCATTGCGCTTGGGGGGATACTAACAAATCAAAAACTTGGGTCACTTTTCACTTCGGCCCAAAGGCTTATTGTATGGGATCTTCAAATTGTTTTTCTGCTTCTTCTTCCTCCTCTTGAGATTGAGACGGGATAAAGATGATTCCGTCTTTACCTTGACGAGTTTTCCTATTGTTTTGGTCTAACGGTCACAAACGTTTTTGTCGACGTGATTCGGGCTGCATCAATGTGCATTGTGCAAGAACCTGCGGTATCCGAAGGCAGCGAATCGAATCCGAAATCTTGGGTACAACGAAAAGTTTTTCGGGTTTTTTTGTGTGTTTTAGACGATCATCATCTCGGCGAGAAACGTTTTTTTTTCCCTGAAGGAAAAGGGAATGAAAGACGATGATTCTCGACGAGGAGGCTTATTCGGGTAAAACCCTAGTGGATAAGGAGAATCCAACAGATAGCAAGGAATATAGCATAAATATATCTGTATGAATACTGAAATTAAATATCAACAATATTCGAGTTATAGATTTCGTGACATATATCTAGATTTGAAGTTTGGATCTCAAGTCGATTCAAGTACTAAAGACAAGTATATCAAAACTTAATTTAGGACACTAAGGATGACATGAATGAATGCCGAAGAGTTTCTATCTCAAATTACATAATAATGTTAAACGGACGGCCCAATCTAAACTCACACTCATGTGATTTTTAGATTTAGATTCAGATTTAGCTTAATCTAAAAATTTTTAGATCTACAAAACCGAATCCGAAATCCGATCCTATAAGATTCGAGTTTGGGATTAGTCCGATCCGAACTGACTCGATCTGTTGGATTAGGTTTTTTCTTTTCTTTTTTTTTATTCTTTTTTAAAAAAAATTTAAAAAACCCGACTTTTATATCAGCCCGAAAACCGTCGGGATTAACCCGACCAAGCCCGAAGCTTGATTTGAGTCAGTTCGAAAATTCCATTTTTTGTCTATAAATTCAAGCCCGAACCCAATCATTTTTTGGGTAGATTCGGGCCAAGTGTCGAGCCACGACCAAAATTGATACCTAAGTCATATATATAGTAATCTTGTCTATACCTATTTTGAGCAACCAATTTGTTTTATATATATATATATATATATATATTACCATTTAAAAGAGTAAGTTTACAAAGATATCCCCATACCCATAGTGGTGATAGACTGAGTTTTGATCAGAAGGCTTAAGCATACAAAAGTGGATAGACCCAAAAAACCAGGTAGAGTTAAGGATCCAAAAACCATTTCTGCAACAGATTTGTGCTGCTGTCGTTTTTCTTGCCTTAATGTGTGACAAGCCACTAACATATTGCATAACAAAAAAAAAATGAATTGGGGGTAAACGTGAGGACGACACGTGGATAAAGAATAATGGAGAGGAGGATCTAAGGACAGATTTGCTGATCACTTTGGGTGCGAGGGGAAGTGAAGTACATGTCAGAAAGAGAGAATGAGAGATAGACACGTTATGTAAGAAAACAATGCACAAATATCTTGTCGTTGCATGATTATCGACACGAACCCATCTGCTCTGCCCTGTTTGTACCTTCTACAAATGGCCAGACAAAATCATATGTCTCTTGGTTCCCCCCTCTCTCTCTCTCTCTCTTTTGATTTCAGTCGATCTGCAATACATTCTTCAACCTTTAAATCAGAGCGTGTCAATATATATACACGCCACGTGTTTTTTGAGAACGAGAGCATTCCCGTGGTGGGGATTTCAAATACGGATGTACTTTGCATCGTCTCATTAGGTTGGTGTTTTGTGGTACTACGCTTAAGCATCACCACACTCATGATAATGATGGTTATTATTGTAACAAGATGGCGGGTTCAGCTATAAGCTTTTCGCAAGTGTTGGTGGTCCATTACAATTTATAGATTCAAACACTGTTAGATTCATAGATCCGTGATACGAATCTATTACATCTATTCAAAAACTATATATATACATATAATCCTCCAGAAATAGGACATTGCATCATTCAAGAAGTGGTTTTCCAACATATACCATTTTGTTCCTTTCGCAGGTTATCGAAAAAACTATATATATAATCCTCTAGATATTAGTCGTTCTACACTTTCCGTTATATTAGACTCCGACACCAGTGATAAGACAATCCGCTTTCGATTGTGGATATCACATCTGATATGCTTTGAGGGGTCGGCTACTAGACAGATCACTACCATATGTATATATTTATCCCGCGTATTTTGTTTTCACGTGTTTTATTCTCATCCGCATTCATATAATATAAAAGATTGTTTTTTCTATATTGATGACTGCAATATACACGCTAATACATAACAAAATATAATTGAATATTTTAGATATAATATTGAGCCATGGATTTCATAACGAAGTATCTTTCACGTGATGTTGTGGTTTGGATTTGAGTCGGTATTGCATGCTTGATAACGTTTGAATAGCTTGATAATTGTAGTCTTAGAGGCTGATGTGACAAAAAATTGCGAATTGTCTGCGTGAGTTGGGTTGCACGAATGTCCGTTAGAATATACCTTTATATATACCCATCCGGTCGATATACCAACCTGTTTCGATACATAGACTTGTTACAAACTCTGAAATCTAACACTCTCTATACCTAGTCCACACTTACGGACTTGTATCTACTAGAACACGATCTTGATGACGGAAACGAAAACCGAGATGCTCTTCGTGAGAGAGGATGTGTTCGGCCGCGAGAGAGAGAAGAAAAATCTGATTTTTCTTAATCACTTACCAAATTATGTTTCATAAACATAATTATAAAGAAGATTGGATTTCATTAAACTAATTGGGCCTAATAAGTCTTCACTTAATCATTAAGAAAAAACATAACCTTATTAATAAACATATAGGTTCATTGGATCATATAAACTTATCCAATGGATTTCTAGTCAGTTTTACAAATCGATGTGGTCAGAACACCATATTCATCAAGGTCACGGTGTCGAGAGGGATGGAGAAGATTGGGGGAGGGCCTCTGGTGAGGTCATAGGATTCGTTTATTTTTTCTTTTTTACGGAGGCTAAGAAATTTAGGATTCCAACGGTTTATATAATTGATTAATGGGGTTTGGTTATGGCGGCGATTATTTTAGATAATGATTAAATATTATATTTTTCAATAAATAAAAAGATTTTTAATCGTAGAGTACATAAACCAATATACACTTGAGAGAGTGAGCATGAGTAATACACGTCATTCAAGTGGTTTGGGAAACACACCACAGGGTCCGTGGATCCACGAGGGAAGAAGATTCACATGCATAGGCACGATTCGGGTGGAGTTGGGCAAATGCATTTAGATATGTGTATTCGATATCTAAATTTGTGGTGTATATGTTGCTTGTCAATTTATGTGATGTGAATCTCTTAGGTTAAAGAAGGAAATCTCCCCAAAGTCAGATGGGACATAACATGAAAAAGAAATAAATAAAAATAAAAGAAAATATTCATGAAAACTCTATTATCCGTTACTTACATAACTCACAACCGACAGAAAGAAACAAAAGCGGTCGAAGGATGGAGAGAAAATTGGCAATGCCTTGGGCTTAGGGGCTTGGGGGGAAGGGCGGTGACATGTTTGATATATGTCAGAGTCGACATTCACCGCTCAGGAATGAAAATGAAACAAAGTCAATACATTTGGTCACCGAAATAGTTCCCCGCCTGATAGATTTGTTCGTTTCCTAATTTGTTTCTTCTTCTTCTTCTTCTACATTCAAGAATTTATTATTCATGTTTGTAGGTTTTTCTAGTAAAATCAAGAAACCCGACACTCAAAAATGGTTTTCTAATTAATTTTCCCTATTTAGTGAAGTGATGATAGAGATTCGTACCCCTTCCGTTTCATTTTAAATGACGTTTAAACACAAAAATTAAGAAAAACTATAATTTATCCGAAATACCCTTATGTATTATTTAGATAATTATTATTTGGAAAAAAATATTAAAATTACATGAAAATTCTTAAAACGTTAATTATTTTGAAATATTTTTTTTTCCAAAATGTCATTTAATATGAAATGGAGGGAGTAACAGATAATTCCATGTTTAAGATCAATGAGAGAAATTGGCTAAGATAATATATTTAGCAGTCATAACATACTTGTGATGTTTAAGAATTATGCAACTCATCATATTAGGGGCGGATTAGAAACTTTGTTAGAGATTACAACTTTTTATAAAAATTTATAAAAATCTTCACTCGAGTAAATTTCGAATTTTCTATTCGATGGTTTTATGATTTTTTTTGAAGAGCGTACATGGTTTTATCAAAACCGTTACAAGTAATTTTATATGAAAATATTAATAATATTTGAAGAAATACACCTTTCATCCAGCTTTTAATTAATATGTTACGTGATATGTATCTTGCATGAAAATAGTTATAATATTTTTATATGTGGTATGCATTCTATTTAAAAAAAAGGGAAAAAGGCTCTGAAAATAAAAATAAAAATAAAAAAGAGAATGGGGTAATAAATAGGAGTTCAGAAGAAAAAAAAACAAATAGGAGATCAATATATAGGAACGACAACAACATCGCTATCAATATCGTCTTATTAATCTCAAGTTTATACATAGAAAAGACAAGGTAAAAAAAATAAGTATATATAAAAAATATGGAAATAAATAGAGATACCCCAAAAATTCGTTTGTACAGTTTGAATAAATCATTTCTGGTCTGTACAGATCTATGAAAATTATATTGCAATCTTCCAGAATTCATGGTTTGGGAAACAAAATCTTAGCTTTGAATTCGAAAACTAATTTTATAGAAAAAAAAAAGTATAATACGGAAATGACAATATTTTCCTAAGTGGAAAAAAAAATATCTTGAGCACGCCAATTTTGGAAATAGATCTACAAAATTTCAATTTCAGTAAAATAAAGTGATAGGGAGAGGAATAAAATTCAGAACATATGTTGTATAGAGTTTGAAGATTATAAAAATATCTTATGTCCAACATTTCAAATCTAAAATCAAAATATCTAGTACTTTATTTGTAAATATTGTTTATACCTTTGACGAACTATCCTAGTTCATAATTCATATTATTTTACTAGAATATTTCAACTATATATTTACTTTTAATAAATATTATTTAACTGATTGATTTCATAAAATTGATTCAAGTAATATAAACTAATACTGAAATAAATAATATAAAGTGATTCAAAATTAATTTTTAAATTAAATCAATTGAATTTTAATATATATATATATAATAAATAAATGAAAAATAATTTGTAATTTTAAAAAACAAGCCTAATTGAATGAGATAAATAAAAATCAAAATCTTATATATAATTATAAGAAAATAATAGTTTTGTAGAATAAAAATCAGAAATCTAAAAATGTATTCTATTTCTATTTATGAATAAGATAACCTCTTAAATGTCGTTAATAGATATTACACATTTCTTTATAGGAAAAGCCATAAAATATATGGGTGAAAATCTTATCTTATTTGTCTTAAGTATTGATTTTTTTTTTAATAATTATCTTTTTTCAAAAATTTCTTAATTTCTATCTAGATTTTCATAAACTGTTTCGCATAATTTAGGATATCGAATTGTAAATATCTTATAAAATCCTGGAGCACTTATAGGAAAAAAAAATTACCAGCCAATCAAATTTATTTGGAGGATATATAAAATAAATAAGAAAGATTCGGTGCCATCTAGTCAACTCTAGATTTTATAAATGTTTTTAGTTTTTAAAATAAAAAAAAATTGTGAACGACATTAAAAGACTATAAATACCCCTAATACAGAACTATTTTCTTGGCTCCCATTAGTCGAGTTCTATAATTGTTAATATGATTTTTTTCCCCTCTACTCTATGGACCATAATATAATCGCTGTTACAAATATGCAAAATAAGCCATGCAAAAAATAAAAAATAGTTAAATTACACTTATTTTATTTCTACATTAAATTTGAGATTCTCTATTAAATTTCATATGCATGGAATTCTATTTTCATATTATTTACAGTTTTATAAATCCTTTTGATTATGTTAAATTTTATCTATATTACCATTACATTTCTAAAACAGATCCAATCGAAGCTATTTCTTCCTTTTTTTTTCCAAAATTATTAATGCAATCAACATTTCTGTGATTATGTAGTTAAGTCAAAGGTGCAGTGAATTTCTGGATTATTAAAAAAAAAAATCGTTCCTGGGATTATCTTGATAGGGAAAAGAAATGAAGGAGAAAATCAAATCCAGTGCTTTTAACTGTAGCAGCCCATTGTGCCAAATTAGTTCTACACTGAGCCATGCCAAGTGGCCCAACCGCATAGGTCGACACAGATATGGATGGAGGAAAATTAATTGGGTTAGCAAAAATGCGTGCGAGACGCTAATTACCATGTGAGCAATAGAGACATGCAATGCTTATCTATCCGTCTTTTGTCCTCATCGCTCAACCAACCCCTCTATATAATGTATACTCACGCCCCCGTTGCATTGCATCCTACAAAGAAACAATAGAGCCTGGAGGGCAAGAGGCTGACAAAAACACCACAGAGAGAGAGAGAGAGAGAGAGATGATTTCGGTGTTTTGGTGCGTAGTGACGTTTATGGTGATTGTTGCAACGGCTGTGTGCACAAGGAGAAACACGACAAGAGAGGCGAAACAGAGGAAAAGAAGGGCAGAACTTCCACCGGGTTCGATGGGATTGCCTTACATTGGTGAGACCCTTCAGCTTTATTCTCAAGACCCTAACGTCTTTTTCGCGGCGAAACAAAAGAGGTCGTGATCTTGATCTATCTTCTGTTCATTTTCCCTGTTTCCGTGATCGGTTTTCGAGACTAAGAAAAGGGTACTATCCTCTGTGCATTTTCCAGATATGGCGAAATATTCAAGATGCATATTCTCGGGTGCCCGTGCGTGATGCTGGCCAGCCCCGAGGCTGCAAGGTTCGTCCTCGTGACGGAGGCTCATCTGTTCAGGCCGACGTACCCGAAGAGCAAAGAGCATCTCATTGGTCCGTCGGCTCTCTTCTTTCACCAAGGAGACTACCATTTGAGGGTTAGGAAACTCGTTCAGGGCTCTCTATCTTTGGACACAGTCCGAAGGCTCGTGGGAGATATCGACCACTTGGCCACCG